CTAGTTAAGATTTATAGGTAAACCCTATTACCACCTTTGTTATGTGGGATTTAAGAGTAAAGCAAGACCAAACACTGAGGTCTCATGGTGTTGGTGTGATCCATGTAGGTACAAGTCTACTTCACTAAGGAGAATTCTCGCCATCAATTTGATCATGCAAACATACCATATACTAAATCACATTGCATAACTGAAATCATCGACATCATGCTCATATTCATCTACTTTTATTGACTTAAAAGTTTAACGGCATTAACTCCATAATTCATAATTACAATAATTTTACAAAACCCTACTTGTATAATTTTAAATACTAAAAAACATACATACATTTAGGTATATAAAAATATATTTTTAATTTCACAAATATACATATAATTACTTAATAAACAATAACATGCAATAGATTCCCTTGGTTATCTCAAGCCTTTAAGGGTTTAAAGGTTACCTCTTAAGAATTCACTTGCTTCCAAGCTAAACTCAAGCTTCCTGGTGCTTTACAAGGTTAGACTACAATTTATAACATCCGATATCATTAAGTATCAACTAGATTTCTCATTTACAACTCCTAAAAATCACACTTAACAATCCATAATCCTAACCATGAACTCAAAATTATGACCAGTAAGTTTACTAACTTTCATTAACCTTATTTATCTCCCATCAGCTTAAATATCAACAATCATAACACCCAACAATCCTAATTTCTCCTTTAAGCAAACTCAAAACTTTGCTTCTAAGAATGATATGGGTAGGGCACTATCTATTAGGCAAGGTAGCCCGAATGTGCATAGCCCATTATGCCCAACTTGAAATGATAAGGCTTCTTATAGGCTGCATTTTGCAGCCTGTGCACCCTCAGGTTGGGGCCCAACCCAGCTTGTATGCACCCCTACTCCTTATAGTTCTTTTTCATATCTACTTCTATATATTCAATTTTATCAGGCAAAAAAGAAAGGTAATGGGTCTCCTCTATTTCCTCATAGGCTCTTACAAATTAAATAGCCAAGGGTATATTTGGTAAAGGCTAGTAAGTGTTGCATTATATTGTTAAAAAAGTATTCCGTTTCTCTCAAATTATAATACACTTTTAAATAAAATTACACACAACCCCAATAAATCTCATTAAATACACTTTACAACCTTATTTTTTTCAAAACAAAAATATAAACTTTAAAAAATATCCTTAATCTAATACTCCATTTATATGGAAAGAGTGATATTAAAAAATATCATTAATGAAACCTTTTGTTTAATAGAAATGAAACATTATTTTTGTCAAAATGTCTTATATTTTTAGGACGTTGAATTTTTTTCCCAAAAGTATCATGTAATTTGAGATGGAAGTTTTATATTTAGGATGGGAGAGAGCAATTACTTGTTGTTAGCTACAGCTCCCCATCCATTTTGTCTCAAGACAATATTATTGAATAAAAATATGCCTTGGCTAAGGGCTCAGCCTGGATTTCAAGCAACTGCATAAATATGTATATAACTAGCTAGCTATTAATAAATTTATAAAAAACACTATATTGATTACAAGTCATCAATATTAATCGGTACATATAATCAGTGCATATAGTACTGTTACGTTCCTAAACAGTTTTTCAAAATCTATATTTGGCAAGGACAAAATCCACATCACAATATGTAGCTGTGGGAACATCATATCCCTCGCTAATTTTCACTTGCCAACGAATCAGGTCTAGCTCTTCGCTACGAGAATGCTAAACGATTCTATTACCAGAAATCATTAAATACAATAAGCCTAGAAAGACTGTATCCAAATTTAAAAAAAAAGCCTAGAAAGACTACTAAATAAATCAAACTAATAATAAAAGGACACCTAAGATGCAAAACTGGGATATATTACAAGCCTTCTTCTTTTTCTCTCCGCCACAAATATTTACACATTCCGGAAACTTATTTTCCTCTGCTGCGTTCCATTCCTCTTGAGCAATATGGCTCCGACGGAAAATGATCAAAAAGGTCACCATTATTTGCCGCTGCCTCAATCTGAATTAGATCAAGCTCGGACTCGTGACGACGATAGTGATCAAGATCAACCTCTGTCGACGTCAGCCACCGACATCGATTCTTCAGACAATGAAATAGGGAATTACGAGAACGGCGAGGTTGAACCGCAAAACAAGAAAGGTCAGGATGTTAGGTTTTCGCCTTTGCCTGCATATTCAGAACCAGACCATGGTGAATCCAGCAGTGAAGATCGAGATCCGCCCTTATCCATTTCTGTCCAACATACGAGGCCCACCACTGATTATTATTCCGACGAAATGCACAATCACGTCAAAACTAATGGCAACACAGAAACCACTCAAGACCTTCTAGGCTTGACTGTACTGCTTATGCTAATCTTTTCGCCTCTCTACAAGCGCATGGAATCACCCGCGGGGGATCCAATTCCTCCTCTTTTCACCCTCAACTCTATGTATGTTTCAAACTTCACCACCGAACACGGGATCCTGACCGCCACCTGGGACGCCAAGTTGACAGTGGTGAATGCTAATGTGTCGTCGATCTATTTTAGATATACGGACTTCATCATATTCTACAATGACAATCCAGAAGATGCTCTTTCAGGCGTATCGTTGAACCCATTCTACTTGGACGAGGGAGATGTGATGAAACTGCACTTGAAGTTCACCACGAGCGAGGGCGCGTGGGACGAGAATGAGCCGCGAGTGGAGAGTTGGTTGGTGGAGCAGATAGGGAAAGATAGGGCGAGAGACGGGTCTCTGAACCTGGGAATGCAGATGAACGCGGAGGCCATTTACTATGGGGAGACTTGGGTTTTCGATGTGGAGATGAGTCCTCATTGCGAGGGATTGAGGGTTCAGTTTTTGCCCAACCAGGGTTCCGGAAGGTTAACCCTGCCTGATAGGAACTTCTCGGTTCCCATAGGATGGAAGCCTTTCTCTTTGTTTTAATTTGTTCATTAATTGCACAGTCAACACTTATGCTGAATAGCAAAGGCTGAAAGTGCAGACTATCTGTGCAGAATAATGGTTTGGGACTTGGGGGTGTAAATATATCTGTTAGACGCACTTCATGAGTCATGATGAGCATATATAACATAACACGAGCTTACTGTTTGTAAATGTCTGTCATGGTTAGTTAACTTTCACTGATGATTTGCTAAGGACAGATGTTTGACAGTCGAGATTAATTTCTTCCAGCGTTTTTGTGTGATTCTTAATTATCCATCAAGAAAACAGAATTGAAAAAAACCAAATAAGAGATTTTTCAATAGTAGCATACTCGAGTTATCTTGCAAATTAAACTTGAATTAGCAGCCTGAGCTCTAATTTTCCGTTCAGGAATAATATATTCATTTTTGAGCATTTTATAATAATTTATAAGGAACTGTGCGCTGCTGTTAAATTGATATGATGAAATCCAGCTGTTTGTAGCGACTGGAATAACGAGTTTTCAAGGCTAACTGATGTTTTCACATGTTGCTGGAGTTTATGATATCCTTCATATCTATTGTAATTGAGTAAGATATAGACCCCTAAAAAGGAAATGAATCATCAAATATTTGCTCACCATTTTGGAGTCACGCTCGCGGGGCATGCAAGATTACCGTACCCTTTAAAAATTGAATTTGTGAACTTTTGTAACCATACGTTTGCATTGAATGAGTAATTTAACATTGAAGTTAGTCATAGAGTGCAGGCTGAGACCATGCTCCACACACAGATCATGGTGGACTCCTGAGAAGTTTCCATCAATTCTGGCACAGACAATGATTGGCAAGTTTGTTTTCACCCTTACGCATATATATATATAGAGAGAGAGAGAGAATAACACATGCGTCGTTTGGCTCGCCAATTATTAATAAGCAGTTTCCACTATGGGAGCTCTTTCAAAGTGTCTTTGCTAATGTTCATAAAGGACACCATGGGAGCAGGGCGGAGCCAAAAAATTTTACTAGAGTGCTAGGATAACAAAGCATATATATTAATTGAAGTGAAGTTTTGTATATAGACACACACACACACATATATATATATACACAGATACACACACACACATACATATATTACTAATATAACATAAATATTTTAATGTATATATTTATATTTAATATTAGAAATATATAACAAAAGTACATATATACATTTATTTTTTATGATTTATTCTTCAATTTTTTACGGCATAGAAATAATTTGAGCAATTTCCTTCTTAATATAAACCATCATTAAATTGGTAAAAATTTTATCTTTCCTATGGGCATTGACTAATCTAAATACATAGTTGAGATTTAAAATTCTATTTAATTTAAGAAGCTTTATTACTTGCTTACTGAATTTATTATTTAATTCTTTTAATTAATAATTACAATAAATAAATATATCAATATGATAATGATGTTTAATTGTTACAAATTCTTTATATTGACGAGATCTAATTAGATTATAGTAAAAATCATTCATATAATTATGCATAAAAAATTATTTATATAATAAATTTCAATAACTTAGTTAGCACATACCTCAATCATAACTCTTAACTTTTGAATGAGTAATTTTATGTTAGATATTATTTATATATCATTCAATATATATTGAAATTTTTGTTGCAATATTTAACAAAGTTTATTAATAATAATTCTCATAACTTTTTTAATCAAATATATAAAATAAAAGCAAAATCAAAAAATATCAATGTTTTAAGAGTAATTATAGCATTATCTTATTAAAAATAAATAAATTTTATAATAATTATATCTTTAAACTATTAAAATAATTGAATTATACATAATATGCTAACTTAGAAGGTTAAAAATATGTAACTTTTATATTTTATTAAAAAAAATTAAAAAATTAGGAAGAGATTGTGACACTTTTAGAAGGTTTTTTCTGGCCATATTTCATGAAGTTGTTTAGGAAATGCATCAGGAATCGAGACACAGAGGTAGATAAATATTCTTGGCGGGCGAATGCAACGGCAATTAAAATCTACGCTCTTCACGCGCGTGCCCGCCCGTCTATTTTTTCTGATCCTCCTCTCCACCCTGTTTCGGTATTTTGTGAGATTTTTTTGCCTTCTTGAATCTTGATTCCATCCTCGAGACCTGCCTCTCTCTCTATCCCCCCGAAAGAGAGAGAATCAAGAAATTAAACCGTCATGACTCCAGAAAGCCATGAAGGAGATTCCCCAAAGCCGAAAAAAGAGTCTCAGGCGGCGGCGGAGACATCGCAGTTTCCACCGTCGCATGGCTCCCAATCCCCTTACCCGCCGCCGCAGGTGACGTATTACCCGCCTCCGATGGGTTACCCTCCAGGCCAGGGCCCCTTCGGCTACCCCCCACCTGGTGGATACCCTTACGCCGCTCAACCACCGCCTCCTATGTACAACGCCTCGCCCTATGGAGCTCATAATAATAATAATAATCGCTCCAGCGGCTCTGCCTGCTTTCGCTCCTTTGTATTGTTCATCTTAATGCTCATTTTGTGGTATTTTGTGCTAGTCATCATAGCCTCCTCCAGTTATGATCATGATCCCTTTTACACCGTGGACTCCTTCTCGGTTTCCAATTTCAGCACTTCCAATTCGGCGTTGACATGCATTTGGGACACCAAGATCAACGTAACCAACCCGAGTTCCCATAACAACGTCAGTTTCACGGATTTTACGGTGCACGTCTATTACAATGATGAGGAGCTAATTGAGAGTCCAGGGAAGTCGTTGGACGTGGGACAAGACCAAATCGGACAATTGGAAATGAGCGCCAACTATAATTCTGGGGTTCAACCGCAGATACCGAGCTCGACGGTGGATGCGATGACCAAGGATCGAGACACCGGGTGGCTCAAGTTTTCGTTGGTGTTAACCGCAAAAGCCACTCGCAATTACCAGTCTACTTTCTTCGTGTGGACGCTCAAGCAAACGATTGCAGCCCAATGCAGAGATTTGAATGTCCGTTTTGTGAATGGTACTGGTAACGCCACCTTCAATGACGAAGGAGATCATGTTCGATGCCTCATGGTTCTGCATTATTGATCGCTGTCTAGTTCCTGTACATGTTCGCATCTCCTGCCTTTGTCTTAGTTTAATTCATTAATTTAATCAATTTTACCCTTTCCTCTCAAAACTGTAGATATTTCCAACCTAAAAAATGCTTGTAGACTTTTTAATTAAAAAAAAAAAAAGCTTGTAGATGTATTTATATTTTTTTATGTATATTTCTTACACAATTAACTGACCTTCGATATCTTTTTATCTGAATTAAATCCAAAATATGATAAATATATAATTTTTAATAATACGCTCTTTCAATTCAAAAATGAAAGAACATATCAGCATAAGGATTCAGATGCTCTCCATTCCCTTCTCAAATACTTCCTTCCATGTTCAATCTCATACATCCATTTAATTATATTATTCATTATTCATTAGGTTTAATGATATCAAATTCTTAATTGTAATTTTAAAATAAATATATTATTCATTTAATAATTATCATAAATAACTATCATGAACTTATTTTTAAAAGCATTTATGTTATTATAGTAAATAATTTACTTATTTTAATGTTATAATTAATTATCTTATACCATTAAATTATAAAAAAATAATCAATAAAAGGATGAAATTAAATATGAAAAGATGTATTAAAAGATGGTATATGAAGAGAATCCAAATCCATTAGCAAAGTGATATATGAAAGGATAACTCTACATTTTAAGGTCAACTTGCATCATCAAAAATATCTACACGCCAATTTGCATGATAAATATCAAATGATTAAATTAGCAATTCATGTTAAGAAGAGGAAGAAGATCTTTTTTTAAAAATTAATATAACGAAAGAGTACTAGAAAAGGGAAGAATTCCTAGTGTCTTTTTGTCCGGCTGTCCGTCAACGGTCAACCTTGTTTCCCCGGCTACCTGGTCCCTGCCTTCCGACTTCGGAGTCGTGTCGGCCTCCGTCCTCATTAACATTAATGGAAAATCAATTTCATCATCTGAAGCCCTGACCACTAACTACCCATCCCTTACAATGCCTTTGATGCGGGGGTTTGAAATGCTGAGAATCACGGACTCCCCTCCCGCCTTTTGTGGGAGGAAATTAGGGGCATGTGGATAATGATATAATCTTGCTGGACGAGCGCTTCGATCCGTCAGATTGAGGACCACAATGCTGGCTTGGTTAGATAATGTATTTAAATGTGGTATAGTACGCAGAGGGAGGAGCATCGGTCGACGATTGACTGCGTCTGGATAAGCATTAGGTTTTCTTCCAACAACGGGACTGCCGCTTTAATGGGTACTTCGAACTTCCAAGCCTTGGTTTAATCCGTGTGATTATTGCACACAAGCACGTTGGTGGATTGCAATGTTCATCCTTGTTAATTAATCTGATCAAAGGAACAAAATGTGTCCATTGGAATGCTAATTTTGTGTCTCTGCATTTTGTGGCATGCGCAGTTTATGCTCAATCTTCTGCCCCTTACATATACCGCTTACCCGAATGAGGAACTTGCATTCTTAACTCAAGTTTGCTGTTTCTGTGGACCGTGGGCGAATTGAGTGAACCAGGGACTTGTTCTGAACCATACGTTCTCACTTGTTCAGCTGCCACTTTGGCAATCGTGGTACGCAGCAGCATTTGACTATTACTAAATGCACACATAAATATGTTCTCTGTGTAATGTCTGATAGATTGGAACCCGTTTATTTTGCCTTGATGCCGCCCTATCTCCTACTCACCACCATAATAAATACTACAACAGGATGGGGATTCCCTCTTGTGTTGTTTGCTTTTGTTATTCTTAAGAACCTAATATCAAGTGTTTACTGTTGTTAAGAAGGAAGGGAAGATGCTGCTAGATAGGAGGATCCGTGTAGCATTTTATTGGAACTCGTTTATTTTGCCTTGATGCCGCCCTATTTCCTACTCACCACCATAATAAATACTACTACAGGATGTGGATTCCCTCTCGTGGTGTTTTGCTTTTGTTATTCTTAAGAACCTGATATCAAGTGTTTACTGTTATTAAGAAGGAAGGAAAGATGCCGCTAAATTGGAGGATGCATGTAGCATTTTCTCGGTTAACTTTTAAAACTCAAATGAAAAAGGAAGATTTTGATACTTGAACATATCAATCTAGATGTCACAATTCTAGTGAGAGTAACGTGATTGCATTTGCTTTATGATCAATTGAATTCTGATTTATAATTTTCTTTCTTCTCTGTTTTTTTAATTTGTGTATAAGCTATTCTTGATGCTTCATGTTGGAATTAGTATTGAATCTGTGGTTGTAACTGGAAAAGTTGATGTGTCACGTTGACATGAGATCCATTCTGTCCTTTTAGTAATTTGATTGTGAATTTTTCGCTCCATTAGAGAATTTAGATGAAATAAACTGATCAAAAAATTGGGTTTGTTATTATTTGAGCTAGATGGTAATAATTATTCTCTCTTCCAGTTAATTGATCGGACTTCTAGCACTTCTGTTGTCAACTTACTAAGAATTCCTGGTGCGCCAATCTAACTGTTGTATCAGTGTTGTTTGCTTATTTAGTTATCTTCAATAGATAGTTGATAGATGCCACCTGTACCATGTCCCAAGTTCATGCCATGTTTTGTCGATTTTGGCTTTTAGATCTTTAAATGCTTTTAGATTCTTAAGAATTGATGACATGTTAATTGGATAGAATCAGTTATACTAAACCGTAATTTCTTCATCTGTAAGTCTCACATTAACGTTTCCTGCTTTTTTTTAATTTGTATCTAGCACTAGCATGTTTTAAGATCTCCAGAGGACCAATAATTTAACTGTTAGCATCCTTTGTTAAGAATTGCTGTCTTATTCTTCAGTTGCACGGGTCTTCTTACAATATAAATGTCTATGAAAGTGAACTTTCTTTCCTTACTAGCTCTGCTTGATTTAACGAACTGAACTATGGTCTGTAGAAACTCAAGATGGAGTTGACGCTACTAGTGCAATCTTTATGTGTACTGTCTTTGATATTTGAATGAAGCCACTGGCTCACTGCAATCTAACGCTCCTTGGCTGAGTTAATGATGATTTAGGTTGATTGAGACAGAGCATATCTCTGGCCAAAAAATAAAAAAGACACAGCATATCAATAGCCTGGTTGAGGGTGTTTTTTCAAAGTTTAATACATTAATAAATGTTATGATCCTCAAGTGATGTGGGAAGATTAGGGTTGTAAAAGAGGTTCAAGATTAAATACTCTGGTTATTAGTATCTTAAACTATTAAAGATTTCTGCTTAAACAAAGATAACTGTTTAATTTGGTTTTGCTGCCCATTATCAAGCTCAAATTTGATTAGTCTTGTTGGAAGAGAAACTGCTTCTTTAAAAATTAATCTGTCTTATGATGCACGGATTTTAAATGATAGAGCACAATGGCGTCTTGCAATCCATGTAGCCGACCTCACCTAGTGGGATAAAGGCTTGTTGTTGTTGTTTGTATGATGCACGGATTTCATAGATATTTGGCCATGCATATGGTGACTCGCATCAAAATATGAACTGCATTTACTTTCATTATTTCTGTTTTTTTTTTTTTTTAATAATGCGCAAGATGCACTTGAATTGGTAAGGTGGTCTTAAGGTTGTTTAACTTACTCTAGGAGGTCATATGACCACATGTCTATGTAACTAAAAGGCACGCAGCATTTAACCTGCGGAAAGTATATATTTAGTAAACAAGGAACTAAAGGAAAAAAGGAAAGGAGAACCGTGGTTGATGAATTCATAATGTTGTTCTTTCCAAAAGTGAAATGAATCACATATTTTAGTACGCATATAAGAGGATATTGAATTGGCATATTTAGTTTTGAGTTTTGACAATGTTTTACGATCAGAGTAGTTAAGCTCATGAATAATATTGGTTCTTGGCCCCTTGATATCACCTCGTGGCTATAATGTTTAGTTTCACTGGAATCCTCTTGTCCAGGAACTAAGTGCTCACATTTTTTTGGCAACTCTGATTTAAAATAAATGGGAATTACTGCATGGAGAAGTTCCCATGCACAACATATTCAAGTATTAATTGAAGAAAATTATTCTCTTCTAGCATTAACTTCCATTGTTTACCATTGGACCCCGGTTCTCTTGTAACTTAACTACTTAAGGACAATCAGTTCAGTTATTATGATTTAATGTGGTGGAAAATTGTATCCAGTTTAGTGAATAATTAATTAAATAAAGAAAAAGGAAAGGAGAACCGTGTCTGATGAATTCCGCATGTTGTTTCCAAAAGCAAAATAAATCACATATTTTGGTAAGAACTCTCTAGCTGGGGAACTAAGTGTTCGTGTGTGTGTGTGTAGCATCATTGATTTGAAAAATAAAAGGGGAATTCCTAAAAGCAGAAATTTCCATGCATGATATGATTAAGCATTAATTTAATAAAATCAATCTCTTCTAGCATAAAGTTGATACCTCTGTTGTTTATAGTCACATTGAAGTGAGGCTCTCTAGTATACATGAGGGTTATAACTTACAGGACTTCCAATTAGTTTAGCATTTCAGTTAATATCATTGGGGTGACTTTTAGTAATTTAATGGTGTGGCAACATTGTTTTAGGATGATGAGGATTAGGATTTTGAAAATCTTAGATATGATGTTAAGAATATACGAGCCAGGTACGTATGTGAGAAAGAGGTGCTTTATTTCCACCATAGACAAGATGGCAATTTTTTCTGATCATGAGAAATAGACTACTGTGTGTTGCTAGTTGAGAAAAGGTCAACATCGAGCCATTAAGACCCTTTTTTTAATCGTTTGGTTCTTAGAATCCATATGGCTGTATTGAACTATCTGGCTGCCTCTTAAAATCACGTTTTATAGGTGTGGAAGACAAAGTAATTGATGGCCGTCTGTCTTAAAGGTTTAGCAGCATTGGTTAAGGAGTTACATGGTCCTTTTCTATGAAACTGCACATTCTTTGTCCATAAACTTGAAAAATCCAGGCTAACCTGTTTAGCAACGTCTTGATGTCTTGTGAGCAAAAGTGGTATATGGTGTAGTTGACCAAGGGATGATAATCTTGAAACTTGAATCTTCAGATAAGATCGATGGATTGAAAATTTGGGTTGTGGGAAACTCTAAACTTGTATCTGATTGAATTGTTTACCTATTTCCTTTTTGTTTTCCCCAGTAGCTTGGACATTGATAGGTGGAGTGTGTGATTTTAATAATCGTTATTCTGTTTTTTATCTCAAGGCAATGAAGTTCGTGTACCTCTGGATATGTTATCTAGGGCTTTATGAAAATGGGAAATCTTTGTCAATTCTGATTACTGGAAGTTGAAGAACTTCTTCAGACTCTTTACCTTTTGTCTTCTTTGCTCCAAGGAGTCGCTCTCGTTAACATGTGCATGAATAACATAATATATTAATATGTGTACTTTACATTTCAGAACCGCTTCAAGGCATCTGTCTAGGAACATGATGTTATAGGAGAAGATAAGAACAACAAATCCAGGGAAGGACAGGAGAAATGCAATAATTGGCATTGTCACCAGATCATTATATGATTCATACAGAACACATGACAGTGTTCCATAGTATGCATATTTCCTTCCTAATAGCGAGGCATGCATTCAGGCATTAATATAACATCCAATGTATCGGCCCTCTGGGCTCTCGTTTTCCTGCATATTCTCTCCTCTCACGTCTGAATTAATTCACTTTGCTTGAAGATCTTGGTAATTATCTTAGGAAAATCTTACAAACTTGACATGTATTGGGTGAGATTCGGTTCATCAAATCTGAGGTTAAGCACGCATCGACATTCCCAATAAGGCAATAACTCTTGCGCATGAAGATGAATCAAATAGATCCGTGCTAAGTACTCGTGGCACATGATAACACATGCTATGACTTTTTCTCAGGTTGAGAAGATGGGCGCCATGGGGTCAGAGTGTTGAGCGCCTCCATGTTCATAAGCATTACTTTAGAGGCCTATGAATTGTTTGTAAGTGAAGGCACCTCGTTGATTCCTTTGTTTCACAGGAAATTTGTTAGGTGATAGAAAGAGGACCACGACTAAAGTAATCGAGGCAGCTAATTATGAGATTGAGTTCACCCTTGGTCATGAATCTAATCTGAGTTTATAACGATTTTGATTCTATAGTTGTTGAAGCTTATGATTATTTCCGATCAAATGGTTGATGAGATTATTTACATTTTTCATTGTTAATTCCTGCATCGTAGTACTGTGATTAGCAAGTGAACATGCCTGAGCAGATATTAGAAGATGTCTATCCTGCTAATAATGTTAGGTTTGGTATCTACCTGACCTCAGTGCTGCTTTTATGTGTTTAGCTCAATATGATTAATATAACTTGTAATCCTGCCAAACCCCTGTCTGCATCACATTCATATATATGATTGACATTTCCTTCTAATTAATCACCCTTCATGGAAGGAGCAATTGTAAGCCAGAAGTGGGGGGACCCACAGTCAATTTATTACTTGTCAATGCTTTTTTCCCCCTCTCTATACTTTACTTCTCTTTAGATAATTTCCGGTATCATTTTTGGAACTCCAAAATATTTATAATAAAAATATTCGAATATTTTTATTATATTTCTAAATTAGAATAATTTTCATATTTTGATGGCTTCATAAGATATTTGAATAAAATATCTTTCCTATAACTCATTCATTTTTATTTTTATTATGTGTAAATTGCGGACAAATTTATAACCATTTTGTATGTAATTAATTTATATGTGTGCGTGTGCCTGCGCAAAAAATATTGAATTAGAATCTAAATAAAAGAATTTATATGTAATTAATTTAAATTTAAAAACTAAGAATAAATGAAATCTTTATTTTATTATTTTTTTAAAAATGTTATTCGATTGTTTTCACATTTTTTAACATAAAAAAGAAGGCAAAAAGCCGGTTTATTTTGACATTTTTTGTGCGTTAGAGACTAGAGAGTACTATAAAAAAAATTCTAATTTATTTTTAGTCTTTACATGAAATTAACTTTTCAAATATGTAATTATTAAAAAAATTATTTAATTGTGTTTATGCTATGTTAGAACTTACATTATATTACAGTTTAGTGTTGTGCAACTTATTAATTTTATTGACAAAAATTGAAGAATAAAATTTATTATATATTAGGAATACTAAAGCAGCCGAGTTTTAAAAACAAGGAAATATCAAATATAATTCAATCAAATCTAATGGAATATGATTGACTCAAAATTTTTAAAACGACAAAAAATTAATAAATGTTGATGTCTCTTGGAGTTTGGTTAAAGTACAGTTACATCCACTCCTTCAAAAATGTTGTGAATTTTCTTTTAATATATTAGGAGGCTTTTTATCTGTAATAATCGGGTTATATCATGGTGAATTGATTGCATCCTTTTGTTTCAATCAAAATTCATCATGTTTTTGTCTGGTGTTAGTAGGTCAAGATGCTCTCAAAGATTGCTTATGCAGCTTATCATCTAAAATAAAAATCATTGGTGTATTGAATGACCAAGACAATAGAAACGAAAAGAAATCCCCACCCGTTTCTTTCGTTATCAGCTACTCGATTCTTCTCACCCCTTGTTTTTTAGCCAAGTTCCTCTGCACCTTCTGAATCTTAGAATTTTTTTTCCCTCGACTATAAATATCAGTAACATAATAAATACTAGATATTTTTATTTTGACATTGAAAAAAAAAAAGAATCTATTTATGTCGATGCAACTAAACAGACTTACCTGCTAAGCCTTGAAGCCTTGTTGGTGTCTACTTTTTCATATCTCTTTTCACTTTGGCATCCTGTGCAAAGAAAACAAACCAGCAAAAAGAAACCCAGTCTTTTACTTTCAAATATTAAAAAGGGAAAAAGGTAAACCACCTCCTGCGTGGCTGTCGTCATCATATGGTATTTGATGCTCAGCACCTTGGTTGGTCTGTCTGCTGTAACTTCCAAGAGGTTGAAGGTTTAAAAAAATATAGATGCTTGACAAGATAACATTAAAAATGCTCCTTATTTTCATCAAGCGATGGATTGGTCAATATATTATACAAACAACTCCTAACCATCAGGGAAAAGGAGAGAGTAAAATGAAAAGGGTAGGTGAATTAAGTGGGAGTTCAGGTTAAAGTTGAGGAATTTTGGGTGGTTCGATCGAAGCAGATCTTGTAGGGACCCTGACGAGTGGAATATGATGAAACAAATCACCTAAAAAGGAGGAGGAAGGCCCCTTGGGATCAGAATCATCCTCAATGTCAGTGCAAGTGCACCATCCCGCACCCTCTCCCTCCTCTGCCTCCATTATAGGCCCCAACCCACGCCCACGTCAGCTCTCATCAAGCACACTAGTTGGATCTGGATGATTGGTGGGTAAATAATAGAGGCCAACTGAAATCATCCACAGGGTTTTGGCTTATAACATTGACTTGTATTGGCTTCTTTAGTCAATGGCAATTGAGGCTTTAGCGGTGCCTATTTAGATATTAAACCCTATCATATCATTCCTTCCCACCGCCAGCTAAAATAGTAATGCATGGGGGACCAAAATGTCAAATCAATTTTTCGTTTGTTTGCTTTGCTAGAGGAATGCAAGTATGTGGCCATGAATCATCATCTTCAATATTATACTCTACAGCCACAAGATTTTTGTACTTTGTTAAATAAACCGCTGCGTCTCGATGGACTTCTTTTTTGTCAGGCCGGCTCCTAATTTTGACTGTAGAGCAAACCAAATTTTCAGGTCTAGGCTCTGAGAAATCAGACACGCTAGCCAAGCCCCCCCATCTTGAGAACTTGAAATACCGTATATTTCACATGATTTTTCCTTTTAATTATTCCTCCCCGATCCCATGCCTGTAAGGGCCAGGATGTTGCTTACGTTTTAATTCGACTCTGAACTTTCAACAAAAGAATAATTTAGGAAAGGAAAATAGCCGTTGAGATGGAGAGAGGGAAGTTAGGTGGGGTGTCAAGTGTCAAGAAATGAAAGCAATGTGGATAGGAGGCGATCAAGATGAGATGCCTCACGAGCGTTAATGCTTCATTGCGTGGAATAGTCAAATTCACTTTTGGATCACATATATTTCTCCTGTGTTATTAAGACTTGCATCGCACTTCACCTCATTCGCTTTTCACGCCGACGGCCCAAAAAAAATAATAAAAAAGAAAGAAAGAAAGCAAAATTTCCTTTTCACGCCAGATCCCTATCAGGATGCTGCTAAATTATGCATAAAGGCGCAATCATACTTCCGTTCTCTTCGAATATACATGTTATTGCTGGCCAAAAAAATACATGTTACTCACCTTTTAAAATACATATACCCAAATCCTAATCGCTTTTTTCCTGTTTTCTATTCCTTTCTGTTCCCTCTGATCTTCCAATGCAGGTGTCATTGTTCTTCAAAATCCGGAGCCATCTTGCACACTTTCTCCCTTAATCATCGCCAAGAAAAAAAAAAATTGTTCTTAATGTTTATTATATGCGGACGTGAAGGTTCTGAGATTATTTATATGGTCCCAACAAGCTGCTGTCAAATTTGGAAAGGACGAAGGAGATCGACAATTGATTAGTACTGTAACATGCTTGGGGATTTTTGTTCTGCGCATACGTGCCTCGAACAACATTATTATTCGCTAATCAATGACAACAATATATAGATCCTTTTCAAGAACTTCCGAAAACAGATATCAAATCATAAAAGCATGCTATATATCTGTCTGTTAGCAGTTAAACACTTGCCATCTATAATCTCTCTCAAGAGAACAGGTTCGTGCATCATAAGCAGTTCCACTCACCTGAAACATAACACTCCAACTAATTATTAACCGAAAATGCAATCAACTTTTCCGTTGAAACAAATTAAAGAAGAGAAAGGCAGCAACTTTCTGGGGCTCAATGGAGTTGCATGTGTGTATAAGGATGAGGGATTGATCCATTGATTCTCTTCCGTCTCTCAATCCCAGTAGCTTTATCTTGTGCTAGCAATTATATATGCTACCAAACCTTTTAAGATAAAGAAGAGAGGAGCAGAGAACGAGAAATAGGTCGGCGTGTCTGAGCTGGAAGGTTCTCTGCCATGATAGAGAGGGGCCCAGCTAACGTGTCGCTACCACCTTATTTTCCTCATTAAACATCCAATGCCGGTGAGTGGAGCCATTCATATCACTGATAAGTCATGAATATCGAACTTGATATTAATTCAACTTTTTTTTTTCCTGGAAAAACAGTTCTGAAATCACTGTATATAGGAAACACACGGCCACAATTCCATCCGCTTCAAAATATAAGATTTAATTGAAGTATTTATTTTAGTATTAAATATAAACCCTCAATCTTCTTTTTGTTCCTGCTCATTCAACATTTTTTACTCTAATTTCTCCAATTAATTTCACAATTCCTCTCAATCTTTTTTCCTTTTTTTCTCCCACATATCAATGCTCCCTCTCTCTTTGGGAATATTTTAGTGATCGTGGTACATCTTTACACAATAATAATAGACAATCAATTTCATTTAATATTTATAAATTAGTTAGTTAGATTTTATATTTAAGACTGAAGTGTGTAACAATCAATTTCATTTAATATTTATAAATTATTTAGTTAGATTTTATATTTAAGACTGAAGTGTGTAATAATTAATCTTCTTTCAATAGTATAATTTGGTCCAAGCTCTCCCTCCACACATGCATCATTGAAGTTCACATATGTTTGCCCTATGTGCCTCCTTTCGCTATCCCAAAAATCGAAGGCACCCCTTTGTTGACTTGGCAAGCTAAGCATGTCTCTAAATGCCGAATCAGCGTGCGTCACCAGCCTTTCTTCGATTTGCAACGGTATCTTTAGTATTTCAATGTTGAACAAGTTGGTGTACGTAGAATATACATTATACTATACGTGTACGAATAGTATGTGCTTTTATTATAGCATCACTTACTATTGCACATACGCATAAAATGAAATATTTTACATATAATATTCAGACGTACATGTCATGAATTATCTACCTGTATCCTGTAGATCCTAATAAATTAATTGATGTGGCCCAGTAAGAAATTACCCGCATTGTATGAATAGTTTGAAAATAGAGAGTGGTACAATAAATTAATAAGTGCAAATGAGTTGGTGATTGATATCAATTTATCATTTTGCTCGCACTAATCAATCAGAGCTGAGTGCTGATATAACCACCACTATTTATCTATGTAGTGTTCATATATATAGTTGTAAACTACAAGTCCACAAGTAAGTAGCAGGATCAACATACACATCATATGATTTTCAATAAAGAGCACTCGGTTAAATTATACATAAACAGCAAAGACACTCACAAACGCGTCCATTTCAAGATAACTTCCCTTTCCCCACCACTTTATTACCACCATCAGTCCTGTGATTCCCTCCCTCACTTCCACCCTCCCCCTCGTTATATAATTTTATTGTTGCCCTTTCCCAACACGACTCCATCGCTGCTTGTTCTCTTTCTTCTCAGCTTTCTTTCTCCACAGTACAGCTCACTCTCTCCTCCATTCGCCGCCGGCTCCAATGACCGACGCCAAGAATATAAAAGTGTGTGACCACCACAAGGATAAGCGCAGGAAGATCTTCCGCCGAATATTCGCGGGGATCCTCATCTTCCTGCTCATAGTTCTCGTCACCATACTCATAATCTGGGCAATTCTCCGTCCTTCCAAGCCCGCCTTCATCCTCCAAGACGTCACCGTTTACGCCTTCAACGCCTCCGTCCCTAACTTTCTCACCTCCAACTTCCAAGTCACGCTCTCTTCCCGGAATCCCAACGACAAGATCGGGATCTACTACGACCGTCTTGACGCCTACGTCAGCTACCAGAACCAGCAAATTACCTACCGCACATCGATCCCGCCCTCGTATCAGGGTCACGACGAGGTCGACGTCTGGTCGCCATTCGTCTACGGTACAAACGTGCCCGTGGCTCCCTTCAACTTCGTCACCCTGAGTCAGGATCAGTCCAACGGCAACGTCCTCGTCATCATCAAAATTGACGGACGCGTGAGATGGAAAGTCGGGGCCTTCATTTCCGGCCGTTACCACATCTACGTACGGTGCCCGGCGTTTATCACTTTCGGCCCCCGGAGTAACGGGATTGTCGTGGGTGAGAACGCCGTGAAGTATCAGCTGGTCCAGCGATGCACCGTGAGTGTCTGAAGACAGATGCCGCCCCCCACACATCTCGCCGAGCCAAGTCAACGTCCATCTGTGAGAACATAATTACACCTATTACAGCGTCCATGTCTCCTTATCCAATAATTTTACAATTCACTGTGTTCATCATTTGTATTATTTTTCTTCTGAATCCTCTACGGATCTACGCGAATCAATATTTGATTACCGCGCCGACATTAATTAGACATGCGGACGGCGTATAAGGTCTTCGGAATTGTACATTTTGCTATTAATAAAGAGCAAATTATGCTTGTGGCATATGAAAAGTACATGGATAGCAAAATTACAATTTGTAACGAAGGGATCCATAGAGTTAAAGTTTGCTCAGAATAAAAGTATTATTTGTTTTAATATTGGGAGATAACGAATGGGTGTTGAAGGAGGCATCCGGTGTCACTTTCTTCCTTCGCTGAATATATTATTTGTGCGTGATATATGTTTTGGCTTCTTGTTCAATCGCTCCGTTGGCTTTTTTGTTTTTTAAAAAAAATAGTTAATTAATGTAGGTATATCCACGAAAATCCATTCTATGGGCAGCCTGTTTTATTCGTGATTTAAGAAGAAAGTAATATTAAAATTTGAAGGTATTGGAGCACTCTCTCATGTGGTCATTTTGTCCATTTAGTTGAAGATACCCGGCACAGGGATCATATTCCAATTAGAAATGTTTGAATGTTTTGTAGTTAAAAATGTCCCAGAAAGTCTAGATAACTTTTTCCTTCCCCTTTTAACCGGAGGAGAATGCTGTATCGTGGTGATGATAGATATTATTAGCAAAGAGAAAACAAAAAAAGATAATTAAATGGGATACGTACCAAACATGAAGAGGTTACATACAGTAAGGTGGTAGATGAATTATTGTCGGGTGTAGAAGCTGGGAACATGGTGAAAGTGGGAAAAGGGGGTCCATTTCAAAATGCATCCAGCTACTAATACAAATAATTAATGGGGGAGAGAAGGAAAGGGAACATGAATGAGGAGAGGAAGGGAAGGGGCTGGGTCTGATGGAGGAAGAAAGAGTAATTGAGGAGACACGTGGTTAGCGGAAACGAAGGGGTGGTTCTGCCTCCTAATGAAAATGAAAGCGAAATGGGGAGGGCAATTGTAGGAACCTTCCTCTTGGTGCAAATCAAATCAACCCCATGTGCCCTCTTCCATCGCCGCCTGTCCCACCTATCAACGAATCACGTTTCCCTTGCTTGCCTATACTCGCTCAATTTTCACTTCTCTTTTTCATGTTAATATGTGCTGCCTCTTTATGCTTTATATCTCATAAATTGGATAGTCCCGGAAGCTGCACTGGTATTATTTCTCTTTTTATCTACATCGCGACGCAATCGCTATTGCTCGTGCCAAGTGTGAAGGAATGGAGGGGATTCCGATTGCACGTGCTCAGGACCCGGGCCTTGTGTCGGATTCGGTTCTGGTGCTCAGCACCAATTAACACTGCGTTTTGCAGTGTTAATTTTTTTTTCTTTTTTTAAATCACAAAATTATTATTATAATAATAAATAAATATTAAAAAATTATTATTTTAATATTTAATAAATAAATAAATAAATTTAACTTATTAAAATTTGACTTGAACAGTTCAAGTAAAAATCTTGGTCTAGGAAATTCAAAACTATACTGAAAAAATTATTAAAAAAATGACCTAAAAAGTTTAAAATATGGGTTGAGTTTGTTAGAATGAACTAGTTTTTTACTATATATGTAACAAACCAATGTTTAAATTCTTGTTAAAAAGAAGTATTTATATTGAATACCCGATCATGCTTGAATGATATTACTTCTCATCAATGGACAACTGTGCAAAATCAATAAAATAAAAAATATTTTATAAAACACATTTAGTTACTACAGTTCTAATTTTGTTTGTTTACTATAATTCTCAATTGTTTAGATCAAAATTTATATATGAACTGTTCAGATCAAATTTTAACAAATTAAATTTATTTATTTATTAAATAATAAAATAATAATTTTATAATATCTATTTATTATTATTATTATTATAATAATATTGTAACTTAAAAAAAGAAAAGAAAAAAAATCAATTGGTGATGAGCAATCTGGATCCGCCTTGTATCGGCTTACCTGTTATAAACGTTGCCAAAACCCAACTCCAATCGCGTCACCTTTCAGCTCCCTCATTTTATATTTTGAGTCCAGGGTCTGTCCACAAAATGCTTTCGCCCATTTTACCTTTTGGGCCTCAATATTTTCCTTCCACGGCCCTTGGCCAGGCCTGCTTTTCATTTTCCCGCACACTTAAAATGTATGAGCCGCCCGTCGCGACATGTTCTCGTGACCCCGGAAGAAAGACCAAATCAAAAGGCATACTCAGTTTAAGCTTGTTTTTATTGATCCATTGAGGTCGGAAAGAGATAATTTCATGGAAGAAAGAATCACATTCAAGGATGACGACTTAGCAGGCAATACTGAGGACGCGGATGATCTAGAAAATCAGCCGTGTACAAATATATAATATCTGGTGACATTAGTCATTGCCTAATTGGATTAAAAACAATAATGTAAGTCTATTCCAGACCTTGTGAATGTCAATTGTGAACACTATTGCAAACAAGCAGTTTCGAGCGTTTGAATTAGTAATTTTTTGGTGATAACTTGCAGACTTTTCAAAACAAAAAAAAAGTGGAAACTTCTATTAAAAAGGAAGGGATGATTGGAATTAGAAGACCAGAGCGTACAATATCACACACACACACACTCGTGGGCATGAAGACAAGGATGAGTTAACATGCACTGGACAAGGTCAGCAGAAAGGCATGAGAAATTTCGATGCGTACGGATGTTTCAGGGCAACTGAATTGAGGAGGCTAGTCAAATCTATCGCCTCTTTTTTCTTTTTTTTCTTTTTTTTTTTTAAGCGCTGACCGCTTAAAAAACTCAGATATGGATGAGTTAACATGTCTGACCTTCTCAGCCGCGTTATGACAAACTTATAATCTCATCCCTTCCCTCTCCTCAATTTATATATATCCGCTCTTCATCTCCTTTCCCTTCACTCATCTCATATCCTTTCCATCTCCCTCATTTAACTCTCTCGTTGTTTCTTCTCTTCATTGCATCCCTTGCCATGGCTGACAAGTCTTTTCGCGCCAGAGGCTGCTGTTGCTGCCTCTTCAGCCTCCTCTGGAAGTTGCTAGTCGCCATCATCGTCATCGTTGGCCTCGCCGTCCTCATCTTCTGGCTCATCGTCCAGCCTCGCTCCTTCAAGTTCTACGCTTCCGAAGCCCAGCTCACCCAATTCGACTACGATAATAATACTCTCCGATACAACCTTGTCCTCAACTTCACCGCCCGTAACCCTAACAAAAAGCTTGGAATCTACTACGACAAAGTTCAAGGCGTGGCGCTGTACCAGGATGAAAGGTTTGGCAACACCGACGTCATCACCTTCAGGAACTCCTTCCGCCAGGACAAGAAGACCACGGATCCCATGAGCGGCGTCTTCTCTGGCCAGCAGCTGCTGCCGCTGGATGCGCTTCGAGTGTCTCAGTACAACGAAGACAAGCTGGCCGGCGCGTACGACATTGATGTGAAGCTCAACTTCAGGATTAGATTCAGGCTTGGGGATTTCATTACCGGCAGCTATCGTCCGAAGGTCAAATGTGGACTCAAGGTTCCCTTGAGCGCTAATGAAACAACCTCCGGCGGATTTCAGCCCACTAAATGCAGAGTCGACTTTTGAGGGTCCGCTCCGCGCGCTCCTGCCATTTCGATCCTCTTCTTTGCTTTTGCATCATTTTGTTGATTCAGTTTATTTGTTCTTATACATCATCCTTGTATAATTATTTCATTCTTTCAACGTGTATGGAGATGGAATGCCATACGTGCCTGTTTGCTTTAATCATTCTTACAGTTAATAATTCATTTTATATTCAGCTTTATTCTTCCATACATTCCTACCGATCTTGCTCTGTTATTCTTGATCTATCAACGCACTGCGCCCAAGTCCAGATCACAGACACTAAACACCGACGTCGTTAGGATCTACCTATCTCCCATTTTTCAACTCACTCCCCCCCGGAAGTTAACGGACATTGATCATACATTTACGCGGCGATGTATTTAAAAAACCAGTTCCTTCCTATCAGACGTATGAGGCATAGACGCCCCCACATAACTCGCGTCATCTATAAATGCGAGTTGCAATTACATTGGGCTTTATGTTAATTTATAACTAGCCATTAAATATGAAGGTAAGCAAAAACGGACAAAATCGATACTAGTAAACCAATCTAATAAAAACAAAATCGAATGGCTTGATTCAGGTTTCGGTTTTTTCTTTCACAATGTTAATCAAACCTGAATTATACCTTTTAGATTTTAATGTATTTTTTATAATTAATATTATAGTATTAATGTATTTTTTTATTTTAATCTCAACTAAAGTTAGTCTAAACCCAAAATGCTTTAATAGAATTCCAAACCCTTCCTTTCTCAATTTTGTTATTAGAGAGTCAAATGTATATACTCATGTTATATCAAAAATGAACTTTTAGATAATTTTAAATATAGAATTTCTTTTTTAATTTCAAACAAGTTACTTTTTTTTCATGAATATCAAGACAATTTGTAATCAAAATTTTACTCATGTTACTGGTCAATGCATATATTTTGGTGTTTATTAATAATGAAATTTAAATATTTTTATTTTGAACATGATATTCATTTTCATTCCTGAATAATAAAAGTTGAGAATGAAACTTAGTTGGAATATGAAAGAAAGAAAAAGAATAGAAAATTATACTTAGCTTTAAATATACTTTTTTATATTAAAAATATTAAAATTAGAACCAAACCAATCTTAATAAAAAACTAATTAAGTATTTTTTTTTGTACAATATGGTTCATGTTTAGACCAAAATTGAAAAACCATACCTTTATTTGTTTGTAAACACTCTTCATCCATTGAGCCCCATTCTTTCATGTTGCTCTACCTTTAAGTCTTACTTATATGAATCAATAATCAGATAGATAAAAGATTCACTACTTGTTATAGTTTTTCTATGATGTGCTACCAACAAAAAAAAAAGCTTTACAGTTGTCTCTTATAGAAGCATCATTTTATCTAGCCTTTAACGACTGATATTACTTTGCTACTTGAAAATTTTGGTGTTGTTCACTTTAATATTTTCCAAGATACATCTTATTTTCTCTCCCTTTTTTATTTTATGGTTCCTCATACTCATGCTTTGTAAGCTATTTCTATATTATTTAAATGATCTTTTTATCAAAAGAAAAAAAAACCATACCTTTAATCAGACTTTTTTTTGGCCAAAAATTTAATCAAACTTTATTATGTATCTTGTAACAGCACGACCCCAGCCCTACGCTGGGGAATGCAGTGCTGGTACATGTCCCCTCATTTAACTCAATGGTACCAGGATTGACCATAACTTCATTAAGATAGGAGTGGTTGAGAGCTCGATCCCTGAAAAGGTTTCAAAAAACCTCTTTGGTGGGGTGAGAAATAACTCATGTACTATCATAAAGAAAGTCGCACGTGAGCCCATGAAGGGACACGTGCTAGCACCGTATTTGCCAGCGTAAGGGGCTGGGGTTGTATTGTTACATATGCCTAACACAGCACTTAGCTTCTCCTTGGACTTAGAGATATGGCCGCCATCCTCTGAACCCCTCTACTCTCACCGAATAAAGGTTGGGTCCCTCCTTTTTGTCTTCATGTCCCCTATTCCTACACTATTCAAAGCAGAGAACAAATTAGACACAAGTAACTCATTTTCATCCTATCAAACCACCACACTCTTGCCTACCAAAGGTGTTGCATTCTCCTTACCTTTTCTTTTGACAACATATGAGCCTTTCCTCTTTTGGCCTACCAGAACTTACTCAGACTTTTGATTAGTTATAATCATTCTAAAGCTTTGATAACTCTCCACTTTCTTACCCCGACCCTAATAAATTCTTTCACAGTCATACTCATATCCTTTATCGTTGTGTGACTTGCCATCCCCGATTTACTCTACACATATTTCGCCTTCTCTTCACCCTTACTCTTTGCCATAGGATCCATAAACCCCTTAGCACCCATTCTCCTTAATTTCTCAAAAGATTATCGCTTTACTAGCATTATTGGGCCTAAAATTTCACTAGTTTCCCATTTCTGATCCCCCACTTACTCTGACGTCTTCTCTGTCATTCCTTTCATTGCTCCTTCTCTCGCTCCCTTTTAATAGTTGAGACTCATATTGGGCTAAAGGTGCACTTCTTGTCTCCTCAACCACTTGACCACAATTTTTTTCTAGGGAAACAACCATAATGAAAGCACACAAGATGTAGACCTTTAGATGCTATTTGATAGTCTTCCCCAAACGATGTGAAGGTAGGTAGCAATGACTTAGTTCTATCTCTATGCATAAATGTGTGGAACCACCTTTATAAAAAATTGAGGTCGATCAATCAATTTTCAGTGTCTTTCCAATCATATCTCTAATCATTTGCAAACAGTTAACGTTATATAGCTCAACTAGAATCAATTAATCTCACCTGTTATAATTTTCCATTGTGTCTCTACTTTCCAAAGATTAAAGTTAGGACTCCACCTCTACACCATAAGATAATGATCATCAATCATCCACGAACCCTCTTAAGTTGCATAATCTAGATCCTCCTTGTTCGAGAAAGACACTCTAAAATATCCATTACTTAAAGGCATGACCTGCATAGGTTCTTGAATCTGCCACATGCGTATGAGTCTGGGTTTCAAGAATCTAAGGGGCACTACAACATTTTTGCCTTCCAGCAACATTTAAAAAATGTTCCCTATTCTATGAAATCGTTGCTTATAGTTTCAGGCAATATTTTTTAATTTAGCATAACCAAATTTTTTGGCAACAATTTGTTCACTCTATGGCCACACTTCTTTAAAATTGTTGCCTGTTCTATGAGAATAAGCTATAGTTATTAGCTAACTATAGGTAACAGTTTTGAAATGTTGCTTGAAGTTGCTGCATTTTACAACTATAGCCTAAATGTCCTACAAGCAATAATATTGAATTGTAAATATAAATCTATTTAGAGTACATTTGACAATTGTTGCTTAAGAAAATATCAATGGCTACAATTTCTAAATGTAGTATTAATGTTTTTTAAAAAAAAGCAAGTGTCAAATATCAATTGTCATGGTATATAAATATATATAACAAAAACATAATTCAAGAAAGCAGGATTAAGTGATCAGTTGTAGCATTAAAATACAATCAATAATTATATTGTGCATAGTTTAGATAAACTGTTGAACTTGAATCCATGTGCTTATACATATTAGCTACGCTAAAGAGAATTTGGTTTGATCAAATGGATAGATATAACAAAGTAAGTATGACCATAGCACTATATTACATTGAAAGCAAGTCTATATATCAAAGTCAATGGAACTCCTCATTTATAACTCTTCAACTATTTTGCCGGAGCTCCTCATTTAAATATCTTTAGTTAGAATCACCTTCCTACATGAGAAAAATATAAAATATTGTGTAAAATAAAAAATCTTGCCTCACGATATCAAACAAAAAACAAGCTTATAGATATAAATTCATAATAGAGGAAGGCAAATGAGTTTCACTTCGTAAAAAAATATTCTAATGAATTTTGGATTAATTCCTACACAATCCAATAAATATGTTAAACCTTTGACGAAAGGAAAATAATCCATATTTACCTAACAGCACTATGCTCAATCTTAATCCATACTAACCTTGTTAAGTTTGGTCTTATTAATTACAACATATTAATTCAATTTTTTCATTAGCAAATCTGCCAGTGAAAAGAAAAGGAAAATGAGAATACAAATATGCTAGTGTGTGGAAAGTCTATTCAGTGAAAAAAATGAGAATGCAAATGTCTTTGCTGCCCTGTTACACTTCAATTTCCTCCACTAGAGTTTTGTCTGAGGAAAGCGTCAATAAGTTGCTTGGCTCCACTCTCAGCAATTCTCTGCGTGCAATTTCAATTCATATACATTGCATTCAATCCTTCAAATAGTTGCGAAATCTCATCACCTCAGATTCAATGGCTTACTTAAAATAAATAAATTCACTCTTTGTCCTATGCTCGAACATATTAAGAAAACTCATCCTAATTGAATTTTGAACTTCACTGTTCACTTTAAAAATAGCTCATCTTCTGCTGATACAGAGTTGCTATAGTTTAACTAAGGAGATAAATCAGAAAACGTGATCAAATCGCCATGCCTACTCTCCAACTAAGTGAACTCAGAAAAAAAGATAACCAAAAAAAAAAAAAATCAAAGGCAACTATGCTTCACATGAAGTTCAATGTTAAACAAGAACAAAAAGGTGAGATGGATAGATTAAAAAAAAAAAACCTTTCGTGACAAATTGGCAGACCACCCTTCCGCTCTTTTCAACTCCGTATAAACATGCTAATACATGTTGCACAACAATTATAATCACAGTTAACAAATTTTAAGGTAGCACATAGTTAGTTGGATAGAAATGACACATAAACACTTTTGCCAAAAAGAGAAAAGGGAGCTGGCACTTGACACATATAAAAGCTTGAATAACAAAAACTCTAAGAAGCTGAATTAAAACCTTGTGATTGACGAAATGTTTATTTAACTTTATGGCTGACCTATGAAGCTGCCTTTAAACCCACGCCTCTGTGATCTCCCAATTGATGCATCATCTCACATATAGCAAATATCAAATAAAAGGCAAGGTAGATAGCTCCATATGACACTTGCAAGTATTAATTAAAAATTCATATCAGTATCTAATTCGAAAACTATGTAAATGTGTGAGCATGCAGCCTTGAACTACAACTAGAAACAAAACAATTAGTTACAGTTTTAAGATGAGCAAAAACCACTATAAAAGGAATCAGATCTCACTTTTGAGAACAAATGCTGAGAAAATTACAAGTTTAGACACAGTAGAGAATAACTCTTAAAGGGACAGTTGGGAAGATAAAAAAGTCATACTCTAGTGTAAAGTTCCTTGGCCTTCTCCAAATGAGTAACTTCCAGCCTCAGATTTCTCTTCTCAAATTTAAAAATGATCCAACAGAGCAACAAACATTGACAGAACATTCACAAAATCCTGTAATTTTGAGAAACTAAATTCTGCTTCTTATCTTTCCATCATCCTTGTCTTCTGCTTAACATTGCTTCTACTTCGCACTCCATTTCTTAACTCTTAATTTTGCAAAACCCTCAGAATCAGAACCATGTTTATATCAGTTCAACTATAAACATTGAAATTAATTGCTGAATCAAAAACCAAATAACAGCCCAACCAATATGACGAAGTTGTAAGCACGTAAGAACCACGAGAAAAGGTGTAACAGAAAAGGCTTAGTTACACTACCTATGAGCAACACGAATCAGAGATAGAGGTCAATTAGAGGCTAACCATGAGCAACACGAATCAGAGGCTGAGCGAGAACTCGTTCAACAACGGAGGACAGAAATCTCGATTGACGGTGAAGAAATCTAGATTGACACCGGAACTTCAACGGCAAATGTGGCAAAAGGCAGACGAGAGAACTCCAGTGCACGGGGGAGGCTAGGGCTGCATCTTGCATCTCTGGCCTGTGATTCTACTTCTGTGTTTGCGAAGATAACGAGAATGAGTGGAGTGAAAGAAGTGAGGAAGTGTTGTCGTTCGACACTATGTAAAACAATTAATAAATGGTTCAAAAATATATATTATATAGGCTACACTGCTACAGCTTTTATTTGTTGCTTATTTAAAAAAATAAAATGCTACAAGTTAAAACTGTTCCCAATATTATAACAGGCAACATTTTCAAATGGTTGTTTAATATTTGTATCTAGAAAAAAAATAAAAAAATTAATTTTTTAATCCTTCATTTTTTAACTCACTCAGTTGTAACTCAATTCTTCAACTATGATTCACTACGACTCAATCTCTCAACTTTTGATTCACTTATAATTCAGTCCTTATTTTTTAATTTTTTTAAAAAAATTTTATCAAATAAGAGGGATAAAAAATGCTCATATATTATTTTAAAATATTCTCTTCTTACTCATTGATGTGAGATACAAGCTAATATGAAAAAAATTAACAAAAGTTAAAGGACTAATTTGTAAATGATTCAAAAGTTAAGGGATTGAGTCATAAGAGAGTCATATTTTAAAGACTGAATCATAGTGAGTCATAATTAAAGATGAATTAAAAGTTAAAATATTAAAAAATTAATTTTTTTAAAAAAATATCAACGACTACACTTAAAAATTGTCCCTAGGCAACATTTTTAGAATGTCTCTGAAAAAATTATTGCCTAGAGGTAAAAATGTTGGAGAGGGGGATAGTTCTTTCAAAGAGTTCGACTATCAAGTAGTTCTCCCGTGACTGACACCATAGAGTATATTCCTCATCACACACTTCTAGAACTGGTTTCTGAACACGGCTAAGCTCCTGAATCGTACATTCTTTGTCAGACTTTGTACCCTCTTTCCTTTCCATATCTGCCCTTAACTTGGCCAGATATCCCTTCCATCCTTTCATGATATCATCATTCTCCTCGTTAGTCGACAGAAATCCTGTCTAAGACTTGAGAGGGACTCTTTGTAGGATCCAGGTTTCCTAATCTGTCTAGCCGGAGCGTCATCCCCATCTCTCACCACCTTTCCTACCGGTGCAAGCTTCTTACTAGTGAAAATCATCCCCTCTCCCTTACCCCGCCCCTTCTTGCCACCGGTACCCCCTGCTTCAGGGCCTCCGCCTCCTTCGTCACCACCTCCCTTCCCACCATAGCTCTCAGGACATATTTTCTTACTCATCTCTCTCCTATTTTTTTAGTTTTCATCGATTCGCAAGCAGAGAAGTAAAAATAGGTTAGGTCAATTTAGGCTTTAATCATGTAGGCTTGAGCTTATGTCATAAATTAAAGACTTAAGCTTAACTTAAAACTTATGTAAGGCTTTTTTTTATAGCTCAAGTCCAAGTCTATTTAAAACCTAGCCTGACCTGCAAACTTATTTAAAAGCTTACTTAAAAGTAAAGCCTTTTAAATGGCTCTCATTTTAGTATTTTAAATTATTATAATATATAATATATAATCTAATTTATCAATTATAATACATAAGAATTAAAAAGATTTACGAACTATAATATAATACAACAATAAAGTAATAATATTAAAATTAATATATAAGTTAAATATCATTGAAAATAACTAGAAGTAGTAAAAAATAAATTGATTAAAAATTATATGGTGAAACTAGTGTGTTTGTGATATACTCCCTCCGGTCTCATTTATAAGTCACATTCTAGAAGGTTTATTTGATTCCATTTATAAGTCATGGTGTATCTTTTTAGGTAATATTTAAAAGGTATTTTTAAAATTACCCTTCATAAGAGAGAAAAGATAACAGGACATTACTTTTTAAATTTATTATATAGGGGCATGTTTTGAAATTTTACTCATTTTTATTTCTTATACTTTTGTTGTATTAGTATTAATGAAGTTAGTAAAATAACTTATAAATAAGACTGAAGGGAGCAGCACATAATATATATATATATATATAGGCCAGTATGTTGGGTTCGTAGACAAGGCCTTAAGCCTGGCCTATTTAACTAAATAAATTTAATTAAAAGCCTGAGCTTAACCTATTCCCACCCTTAATTGCAACTAAAACTTTTTTTATTCTGTCTCTAGCAATTTAATAAATAATTTTTCAAAAAACAAAATTCTCTATGTCTCTATTCAATTTAATGCATTGGCATTACCAAAAAAAAAAAATTAAACGAATGTTTCAGATATCATCAAGTGACCAACCGCCACGCGCCTTCCACCCTCACCCGCTATCCTTCTCGCATCAGTCGTGATGCATTGGCTTGGTTAATTTATTTAACTTGTTTATATATACTGTTCAAGAACATAAAATATTTTAAAAAAATTTAAATGTAAAAAATATAAAATATTTTTAATCTTTTAAAATATAATAAATATTTTTTTAAAAAAATTTTATTAAATAAATTATTTTATATTTATTTTAAAATAAAATATTCTATTAAATAGAGAAAAATATTAAAAGATATAGTTATTTTAAAAATAAATAATTAGTTTATTAAAAAATAAAATTTAATTAAAAATATTTTATATTTTTAAATAGAAAAATGTGTGTGTATTTTATGTGTGTGTGTGTTTTTTTAAAAAAAAAAACCAGCAACTTGTTTACATCCAATGCTTGCAGTACTAAACTAATTCATGAACCGATTGCCGTTCGCCCGTTCCACTTCTCTTCTCTCCCAATATTATATAGCAGCAGCCGCCGGTGGTCTCTTCTCTCGTGCCTTTTTGTGGTCTCTTCTCTGGTGCCTTTTGCTGCCATTATTATAGCCCTTTTCAACTCGTGTGTGCCTTTGAACATGGCTGCTAAACACTCCCAACTGAACGGGGCCTACTATGGCCCATCCATCCCTCCTCCCACCTCCTACCATCGACCAGGCCGCCGCGTCCACTTCGGTCTCTGCTCCTGCATCTTCAATCTCCTCCTCACCATCGTCGTCGTCGTCGGCCTCGCCGTTTTCTTGTTCTGGCTCATCGTCCGCCCCAACGCTGTCAAATTCCACGTCACCGATGCCTCCCTCACTCAATTCAACTACACCTCTAACAACACCCTCTTTTACAATCTCTCCCTCAATATCACCGCCCGAAACCCCAACCGCAGGCTCGGCCTCTATTACGACAAAATCCGAGCCTCGGCTTCGTACCAGGATGCGTGGTTCGATTCTCAGACTCTGACACCCTTCTATCAGGGCCACAAGACCACGGATTTTTTGAACCCTGTCTTCGTGGGTCAACGCTTCTTGCTTCTTGATTCCACCCAGGCTTCGGAGTTGAGCAAGGATCAGAGCTCTGGGCTTTATGATATCGACGTGACCCTGCATCTCAAGATAAGGTTCAAGTTAGGAGCCTTGAAGACCTTCAAGTTGAAGCCCAAGGTTAAATGCGACTTGTCATCACTTCCTCTCACTCCCACCAGTACACCTGACGGAGGCTCATCCGCCGGTGGTTTTCAGATCAAGCGGTGCGATCTCGATTACTGATATCGTCACTTTCCCTTTTGTGTATCATAAGCACTCCCGGCCTATCCCATCCCGGCAGACCCGTTTCGCTACATTCTTGCATAATCTCCGTTTTTTCCTATTCATTTTTCGGGGGCTTTGATGTCTCTGGTTGATGCGACTTTCGCGATATACGGTATTGCTTTATCTAATTATAATTTTTCATCATCATCATATACATAGTTGTATCCGACTTTTTCCTTGTTTACAAATAAAATGTGATTTCTTTCGTTTGTTTTTTAGTTTGTTATTGCATTTTCATTTTGCGAACGAGTTTTTTTTCCCCCCGCGCCCACGACGACTTTTGGGTTTTGAAATCAGATGTTAAGAATTGTAATTAATGCCGCGGGTATAAATCAGAAAAGAATAAATGCTAAGGGCGTTTACGTGTGAATGATTTGGCCGTTAGTTAATACCGTCTTATTATTGGTTGTTTGGGTTAGAATCAGAGGCCTGGGGTAGCTTTCTTGCGTTTGTCAGTGTGATTGCAGCATGAAATGAAAGAAAAGAACCTTGCAGGATGGATAAAATTTTCCAATCACCGGCCGTCAGCATTGCTGACTTTTTATTTGCGAGATAAATTTTAAAATAATTATTTTAATTGTTTTAAAATACTTCCTTCAATCTTATTTATAGGGTAGAGAAAAAAAAAATTTAATCATATTTATAAGTCATTTTATTAAATTTTTATTATAAATTTTTTTAATTTCATTAAATGTTGGAGAGAGAAAATATGTTATTGAAATATATATATATTTAATAGAAGTAAAGTTGAGAATTTATTAAATTTTAAAATAGATTTAATGAGTTTTAAAATTTTTTTGGATACTGGTAAAACATGTTGAAAGTAACAAGTAATTTATAAATAAAACTAGAGGAGTATATAAATTTATAGTAAATTATAATCATATCATAATATTTATAAAAAAAATAGTCAAACTTATTTACTACTCACTCATTTCTTATTTATAAAGTCTTATTCATTAGTATTTAATATAAGACCTTTTGTAAAAATTAGGAATTGTTTCCTTTGAGTTTGAATGAGTTATTGATTTGCTTTCTTAAACTTAATTTTTATTATTTTAGCCTTTAAAGTTTATTTTAGTTATCAAGTTAGTCCTTTAAATTTTACTAGACCAATTAATATTAAAAAATACTGACGTGTGTGTATGTGGATTAATTAATAAACACACCCGCACATCTATGTGCACGCGCCAAATCTTCTAGTCCAAATTAATTGTTGATATGTTATTGATTTTATTAATTTATTATTCTTGATTTAATCTACACAGCTTTGTTGTAACTTCTCAAATTATTAATTTATATAGCTGCCACATCACTAGCGTAATTTAACGCTATTAATTTCTCTCATAAGATTACAGATTACCTAAATAAATTTATGAACCATTAGTGACCAAAATGATAGAAATTAAACTTGAGAGAGATTGAATCGATAACTCTTCCAAGGGACTAAAAGTTACAATGTCCCAGAAAATTATAATAAAACATTTATACTCCCTCCAGTATTAATTATATGGCAAAGTCAACTAATTCCATTAAAAAAATTATGTCATGTTACTTAAAGAGTAATAGTTGATATCTTAAATCTGTAAAAAAAAAAATGTGACTTCTAATTTTACACTTCATTAAAATTAATTACCAAGATTAAATGCGGTATAGAAATGAAAAACATGTCAACAAATTGTTGCAATATATATATATGTGTGTGTGTGTGTGTGTGTGTGTATGTATAGGGAAATGTTAAAAAAATAACCAATACAACTTTGCCCTATATTTAGGAACAAGTAGAGCTTTGGCTTAGGCTTATAATTAGGATAAGAGGGAGTAATAACTAATATATAAGCGAGTAACCAAGAATAATGTGAACAAAGACCCTTGTGTTATGTGTTGGTCAACGTAATATAAGGATTTTTAATTTAGAATCGTGTAGTAATATAATGTCTACGATTCCTAATGACGTAAATTAATAGTATTCTTTGAGAGACAATGACACGAAGCATATGAGATTGAGAATATGAACTAAAAAGTAATTAACTATTAGGAAAGGCCGAAAGGGACATGAACTGGTCAATTCTGAATAATAAAACCGTATCCCTCTGTGTGTGCCCACCCCACCATTTGTGCATATATATGATAAATAAGAAGCCAAGCCAATTTTGTTATTATAGCTTGGGGGGGTGGAAAAGTGAAATTCACGTAAAATGAGGCAGTGTGGGTATAGTGCATCAGGTGACATGAAGAAAAACAAACAGATAAATGTGACTATATATTGAATCTATTTTAATACTCAATGAATGGATTCTCAAATAGCCACGATCTACGATTCTTTAATAACTGCCATTCATAAATTTGTGTACTTTGGATACAAAAGGCATCAAATTATAAATGGATAATGAATTATTAGACGCGATAATGGGTTATTGTTATATGTACACCTTGTGAAAGGTTATGATTTAATCTACGTAGTCTAATGAATCGCTTCAGCTGACCAACTCAACGGCCCATCCCAGTGGAAACAGCCAACTGCTTTAATGGGTTTCTTTTTTAAATGCCCACTTGTACCCTCAAAGTAACTTACTATTCAATTGTCTTAACTTAATCAGCAAGTTTCTCTTATTTTCATTTCCTTTTTTTTAAAAAAAAAAATCTATCTTAAAATGTAAGCGTTGTCTCTTCTCATGTTTCTATCTAATCAAAACCCAGCAAACCCTTTTATATCTTCATATAAAATCAAGATACGTAAAACCGGACCGGTTATTAAACCGGTCATGGCATTGGGTCACGGGTTAGTGGTTCAATCGAGGTTGAACCAGTGATTGAACCGGTGGCAACCCGGTCATGATTAAAATAATATAATTTAAATAAAAAAACATTAATTATAAAAACATTCAACCAAATCCAACTATTTAAAAATCTAACAATAATAAAATACTATATTTTTGAACTTAGCATACTCTGCCTCTAATTTTTTATTTTTTGACTTCAATTTCACTTTTTTTTGTTATCTTATTTCCGAACTCAAAGCTCTGAAAAATTAAAAATGAAAAAAAAAATGATGTCATTTTAGGGATAAAAGTTTGAAAAAATAATAACCCGATTAACCCGATCAATCTACCGAGTTGATCGAGTTATACCGGGTTGACTGGGTTACACCGGTTCACTCCCTCATTAGGTTAAGGATAAACCCAGACCGAATAAGAGACTGGATCACCGGTTTTTGAGTTGACCCAGCTAGTCCGATCCGGTTTTCAATACCATGTATAAAATTTATAAGTAAAGTCGAGAGTGCAGGCAAGCTACCCATTTAATTCTATTTTTATAATAGTTTGAGTTTAAAAATTTAAAGTTTTTAAAATAATCAAGCTTCTAAACCTAACTTTAATAGATCTTGAAAAAAGAGACTTGAGTTCAGTTGGCCCACCAAACCTGTTTTCTTTTTTGTTTACTCACCTTGCTTAGACCCCTTGAATATATAGGTTATATATTCTTTATACCACTGAACATTCCTTATATCTCATACAATACTGTTCACCTTGTAGCAAGTTCATACTTTTTATTTCTTCTTCTTCTAAAGTTGCTATACATTTATAGGAGAATTGTTATGATAGTTTCCAAATATAATAATTTGAACATGTTGACCACAGGGAAAGAGCAAGTTGTATCTGTAACAGTATGCACAGGGAATCCATTCCTGCTAAATCCTGCATTTATAATGTATATAGACAGATTAGGATATATATATATATATATATATTAGGTTTATGCTACTTATGAATTATGACGAAGGATAAAGGTCCAGTACTTTAGCACCGTGCCTTTCTGGCAATCGATAGGGTAAACATGAAAATGCAAATATTATGTTTGATATTTCATGGTACAATGTATCATGCTTGTTATAAGCTTCTTAAGAAAAACTGACAGGATGAATCTATAACTAAAAAATAGCCAGCTGTAACCAAATTATATGGAGCTACTATGTTTTAGTATTCAAATTGTGATATTATATCTCTTAAATTTTTACTTCTCAATCTGTTTTATTTATTTTCTAGAAAATGATGAGAATGTTTTAAAATATTTAATAAATTTGTAATATTATAATATTAAATTTTATTTTATTTTAAAACATGCTTATGGGCCAAGCCCTTTAAATAAAGGCCTTGGTTCAAAAAATGAGCAATTTTAAGGAACTGAGCTTATGGGCCCCTGCCTATAAGGGCTCATATGGGTTAGGTCTACCTTTTTTTTAGGTCTACTATAAAATTTCAATATTGGTTGGATCATGATCCAAAGTATATAAGAGTCAATCGAAGCAACACTATGTTCTTTTTCCTTCCATGACTCACACTAGTTCATTAACATGAAAGAATTGAAATAAATATTATCTAATAAAATAAATGAAATAATGTTGCGAGAAGTGATGCAAATCATATTTGCCATCAGTTGGATTTCTGTAATATTGACAATCTTGGAAAATATCTAGAGTGACCCCTCCTCTACTCTCATGTGTCTAAGCCAAGTACCATTACACCGTAGAGTGCATTCAATAGAAACTTTCTTCCTGAAAGGCTAACTCCCTTTTTCTTTCAAGGAGGATTACTCTAGCCAACTCTTCTTCTTAGAATCACATCTTATTATCTTGTGTAAATCACTCTCATTCCTTCTTCTTGTCTAAGAACAGTTGAAAGCATGTAATCAAAGCTTTTACTTGGGGCTCAGAGGGTCATTGTAGAAGAATTAGCCTTGTTGAATGCTCCAATATGTGCCAACCTAAAAGCAATGTTGGGTGAAGCATAGGAAATTTGGAAAGCCAAAATCTTGATTTATTATCGAAGCTTGCCTTCTCCTTAGCTAATAAAACCAATCCTCTCTAGGTTAAAGTTCTCCGTGCTCAATATAATTGGTCCCCTTTCTCTAATTTTGAGTTCAAGACCAATGCTAGCTCCCATGTGTGGCTTAGTATTGCTAAGTTATAGCAAGACGCTAATAATATGGGCATTCTCTGGCATCCTAGCAATGGAAAAATTGTATGTTTTTAGGAAGATCATTAGATTAGGGAACTAGATCCTCTCAAGAACATGTCTTTTGTTGATATATTTGATGCTCGACAAGATTTAACTGTTGTTGATTTCGTGATGTAATCATGTTTATGGAAAAGACACCTTTTTCAATTCCTTCTCCCTACCGACATCAACATGTACATATCAATTCCTTCGAAAATGTG